AGACCCAAATTTTTGAAATGAAATTAAAAAAAAAAAAACCCCCCTTTTTTTTTTTTTTTTTTTTTTTTTTAAATCTGAGGCATGACTGAGATATTCTTAGTGCTTGAGACAGCACTGCAGGTCACACGGGGTGTTAAAAATCACCAGTGAAATGTAACACTGCTCCCTGAAATCTGCCTTTTTGTTCCAAAAACTGGCAGAGACATGAAATCTTCCTAAAAATGGCTATGTCAAGTTTCAACTGAAAAACTTACAGCTAAAATGAAGTTATTCTGTGGAAGAATATGGGCTGGGCATCAGCTGTGCCCAACAGAAATCCGATGCTGTTATTGATGACAAAACAAGGAATTACCCAGCAGTGCTGCATTTGTGGATTGTATGGACTGAAATGCTGCCTTTATGAGCCCTCAGGCTGCCATTTCTGACCACAAAGAACAATCTCTCACCCAGAAAATTTGTACATTTTAATTGGCAGATAGTCTGCTCTTAACCAAAGCAGCTTCCCTTCACACCTTCCAAGGGGGAAAAGCTGGATTTTAAATGGCAGCTGTTTCTGTGGAGCACACATTTCTGTACTTGACACTGCCAAAAATCCAAGAAACAGAAGAACAGAACACTGGGAAATTGTCATGTAAAGCAAACACTCAGGTACCAGGGTACCTCATGTACATTTGAAGTGTGATTTCCCAGCTGATTTTCCCACACTGCTGCTTCCTGTGCTGGGATAAAGGGTGAGGGAACACAGGGACCCACTTGGGTCTGTGCTCTGCCCCTGACTCTGAGGCCTCACCACAATTTCAGAGACAGCAGTAAATTTACAGTAGGAAAACACACTCATGTCCTGAAAACACAATTCAAAGACTCCAAACTCAGAGAAACCTTTTGATGAGATCTATTTATAAAAAAGCAGCAATATTAGTACTTCAATCCATCTTCTCTCTTCCTGGTAGGCCCAGGAAGTCTTTTTGTCATCCAGAAAACTCTTTTCTTATTTGTCCTGTGCAAACTCTCATTTAGGTGAATAAATGGTTTCAAAATATCTTATCTATCCCTCAGTTTTACTTCTGGAAAGTTAATCTGCCTTTTTTTGTAATTCAGTCATCTGCTGGTGAAAACCTCTACAGTGCTTATACTTGACTCACACTGAATCTCAAATGTCTAAGTATTTTTTCAACATCAATTTAATTGAAAAACATAAAAGCCTACCCTCCGGAAGGCTCCTGTCTGAAATCCCCCGATGTGATGTCTGTGATAGAGCAACACACAACTTCAGATTTTATTTGCTTCAAGAATTCAATGTATGTCTTGAAATCCAAACCAATTAGAGGTATGGTGGATTTTTAAAATTACATTATCTATTTCTGTACCTCTTTGACTTCTTCAGGTGGTAACTTTTTACTTGAAATCAAAATTATCATTTATTTTTGTTTTCTATGAAAACTGGAGTAAAAATGAGTATCTATGATATAATGAGAAAATCATATAGAAATCTTTACTGCTTTCTTAATGTTACACCTGAAGTATTTCTACATGCTTTAAAGTGGGGCTGTCCTCAGGGATACAAGGTGCAACACCCTGCCACAGCTAAATCCATGTCCGGAACAAATCTGAACTCAGGTTATATCCATTTTTACCAGATGATTTTCCAGGCCCAGAAATACACATAAACACTGACAAAAATACTCTCATATCTGTAAAGATACTCCATCTGTTTAGACTGGAAATAGATGTTATTAAGGAAATAAGAACTGCAATTGAGGAAGACTTTAAAATCAATTGTGTCTTTCTTTTTCTTATAAATAGTTCTAGACAAAGGCTATTTTGCTACAATTAAATACTGACTTATTTTGAGGAGAAAAGAAAACATTCCTCACAAGATATTTAGTAAGTAGAAATATAAAGAGTGATATATATAAATATTTTTTTTAAAATGCATACAAGGTTATATCAGTGATTATATTGACAGAATATTCCCAGTAATTGAAGTTTGATCTGTGAAAGAAACTGAGTATTTGTACAGACTTGTTAGGACAGCCAAGGCTCCTGTAGGACTGGGTTCACTTTTAAAATTGCATTTATTGATCATCAAAGCATGTTCTCCTTCCCTTATCTTTCCCATCTGCTCCTTCTGCAATGCAATAATGTCATTTCCTAGGTACAGTAGGATTTATGTTGTGCTTACATGTTCATCCCAGGCATCCCCGGGCCACCTAAAGCGTTCAGAGGGGGTCTCATGGCACCTCCATAGTTCTGCAACGACAACCAAGGGTCAGACTACCACAAAACAAAAAAACAAAACCAAAGAGGAGGGGGAAAGAAAGGACAGCAGGTTAATGACATCCCTGTGCAACTGCTGCCAGGACAGGCCATGCCATTCATGCTCTCAGGATTCCCTGACTGTTGACTAAAAAACACGGGATCATTAACCCCAAGGAGAAACAATACAAACAACAGATATTGACTAAGAATGATTTCAGGAGAGATTACATAACTTACACATATTAAGCTCAAGTTACTGGACAGAAAGGGTCAGGTTTTATAATGATTCAATTCATTATAATGAATTCTAAACTGAGGCAATTCAAAATCAGCACCGCCTACTAAGATTCTGAGATACCAAATGGGTATTATTTCTACCTAGACTTCATTATGTTTGTACAAAATTAAACCACATGATATAACTTTTGTAATGTACTGTTACATTTCTCTTCCCATTATTCAATTCTAATAAATCACAGAATCTCAGGATGGGACCTTAAAACCCATCCAGTGTCATCACTGCTCTGAGCAGGGACACCTTCCACTATCCCAGGTCTGTGATAATCAAAATGAAGAGTATTTAACATGGCAATTAATGTCCTAGCAATGTTAACAAATTAAATTCCCATCCCCTATAAAATCTGAGTTTATGCCCTGATATCATGACCAAAGTTTGACTGCACTACTTACAAAAAAAAAAAAATAAAATAAATCACTCCTATTTTTATTCAGTGGAATAGAAGCAGAACAATCTGTCTCACCTGACAATCTACCTTACAACTGTAATTACTGCTAATCCTAAGCAGATGCACTGCTTTGCCCTAAATAACTGCACTGCCCTCAGGGCCACCCATACAGGTGTCCTTTCAGAGCAGTGATGCTCTCTGCAGAGCCTGGTGGCCCAGGTATTTGGTGAACCAATTATGGAGTCATTTGTGAACTTGAATTTTGTGTAGGTTAGGATGTTGAGCACAAGAAAAGCAGAAGCTTACAAAAACATTGGATCTTAAATGACAGCAAAAATGGAAAAATTATCCTCATAAAAAGTGGCATGAGATTTGCCTGCTGTGTGACTAATGGTGCTGCATAGAGGATCAGCTCATTCTCATATGGCAGCACAGCAGAGCTTCTCTTTCTACCTCCAAAAACGGTAAATACATTTCAGGGCCACATAAAAAACCAGCAAATACATTTAATAATGTTTTGTTGAACAAAACTCAGCAGAGATTGTGAAGAACTGCACAACTGGTTTCTAGCAAGAAGACCCAAAATTGTACAGACAGTTGTGAACAGGCTTGGAAGGCAAAGCTGTTCAATCATTTGGAATTTAGTTGTTATTCAAACAAGAAGCCACCAGAGAGTTTATCTGAAACAGGGAAGCAAAAATGCACAGTGTGGGCACTACAAGCACACTGCGAAACAAAACACTGTCACAGCACCACGTGCTGCTCGCTGGCAGCGCTGACAAAACCCAGAGGAGCCTCCTGGACCTGTGTTCCAGGGGTGCCCAGGACTGTTTGTCCCCTGCCCTGGAGCTCTGCTGGGACAGAGACACCCAGATGCTCCAGGTGGACACAGGGACAGTGGCAATGTGGCTGTCTCATTTTACACCAAAATCTCTGCTGCATGCACCAAAATTTAGATCAACGTGGATGAAAGAAAAACTTGACAGAATTTGGAGAGGTATTTTTGGCAAAGTTGGAGGGTATTGATCCTTCATCCTGAACAGCATAATCAGTGAGGGGGAAGAGGAAACACCTACTCGTCTCCTGGTCTCCCTTGCCAGCGTCAGTCTTTGATTACAAAATATGCTTTGATAAAGAAAGCAAGTGAAGGGATTCCTCTTTTAAATCCAAATATTAATGAAAATGACAGATTTTTCATTTAGATTTTGTACAGCTGCAACTCAGAAAGGATTTTTTTTTTGTGAAACAGGAGGTTTGTTTTAAAAATGGATTATGGAAAACAAGTCCTGGGCCTCTTCAAGCTACACAAAGAATATAATATAGACTAAGTACAGGCCCGTCACTAAGGATGACACATTTGTAGAAAGTACCTGTGGTCCTAATGGCACCATTCCCCTTGGAGGAGTCATCCTCTGCATTGGCCCACCCATGTTTGGATGACCTGCAAATAAAATATAAAATACACAATTAATTTAATTATGCGAGACACAAGCACCTTCTACAGCTACTTTTAATGAATCATCTCTTTCTAATTAAGAGAAAAGACTCAGGATCTGCAGAAAGGTGCCAGTTTGTGAGGACAGCACTGTGGAGAGGTCCCACACTCACCCTGCTGCCGTGTGGGGTCCATCCCGCTGGGCAGGAGGGGCTGACTCCCTGGGACACCTCCGAGGGCCTGAGGCAGGGAAAACACAGCATAAAACCACAGAATGCCTTGAAATTCACGTTAAAAACACAACACACACGTTTCATTCCTAATTGCTGGATGTTTTCTCTGAGTCAAGAGTTAAGACGTTTTTAAATCCCCACATTAATCTGCCCTCTGGGTTTCCTGAATTAGGTTTAAAGCTCATTTTTACAGGATTTTACCTGTAGCTGGGTCAAGTAGAAAAACACTTTATGAATGGATCTTTGTAGCTGATCCATGAGGTGCTATTTAGCGTTTCAAAGCACCATTACATCTTCAGTAAAAATGTATCCTGAGCGAGCAGGATATCAGAATGGTTTGGGTTGTAAGGGACCTTAAATCCCATCTCCTTCCAACCCCTCTGCCATGGGCAGGGACCCTTTCCACAATCCCTGGACCAAACTATCCCCCCTAATCAAAATTTGGGCTTTAAAGCTGTGCCATGATAGTTTATTGCTCGCACACCTTGTGCATCCACGCCATACCTCGAGTTATGTCAGTGCTGCTAAAGCAGCAATTCGTGAACTTGGCGTAATGTGGATGTGGCAAGAGCTGCAGTTCACTGGGATTATGTGATTATCTTCCAGTCTGGAATGAAAGTACTGCAGTTTGCAGACAAAATCACTCCTGAAACCAAACCTGCAGGCTGGCAGCACTTCCAGCCACCACATCCCACCTGCCAGGATTCACTGAGCTCAGGCACTGAGGGTGTGAAACCCAAACACTTGGCTCAGGGGCTCAGACACCTCTGGCTAAAATAGTGCTGGGAAGTGCAAAAATCAGGAATGCACTGAGTTACGGCAGTAAAGTGTTATCAAATGAGTGCAGCACTAATGGCACTGCAAAGGTGATCACTTCATCAATGTTAATTTAAGTCCCCACTGCCCTGGTGAGAAAGCAGCCCTGGTTCAGGTAACTTAACCTGATCCCAAACATCAACCAGGTAGAGCAACACCTGGAGAAGTCTTGCCACCTGATACATCCAGCTCACTGAAATTTAGATTTCATACCTTCTGGTGACAGTGTGTCAAAAGGAATGACAAATTTGTTGAAACTGTGTTACACAAATATAAAAAATAGCCATAAATGAGGCTAGGGCTGTAGTGTGACAATAGAAAGGCAGTTCTGGAAGCCAAAGCTGAATGAAACTATCTATTCCATTTATCCTTTCTCCCTTTCCCAATATTGTAAATGACCTAGTTTTTCTCTCAGAGCTCCACTGATGTTTTTCTGTCTACTTGTCTTTAACTTTTCATCTGCTGAAAACTCTTTCTCCTCCTCTATCTGCACTATGGAGAACTTGAAAACACAAATGTTCTCTACTTCCAGAACCCTCTTCTCACAGATGGGCCAAAAAAGGTCCCTGCTGATGAACAGCAGCTCATTACTCATCCTTGTCTCACTGGCATTACACATCCTTTGATGGAAAATTGGGAATCCAGCACTTTTAGAAAGTGCTCAGTGTCTGTAGGAGCCACTGAGCACTTCATGAGACCTATTTCTCAGCAATAATCCCCCATTTATTTACTGTGAAATAAATACAATCTGTGTGTCCAACAGAGATGGGCAGAGACTGATGTGCTTGACACAGAAGTGAGTAACACAGGGACAGAGCCCTCGCCCTGGGCCAGCAGAGCAGCAGGGATGAAGCCTCACCTGGTTGGGTATTCTGAGAGGTGGCCTTGGACCTCCAGGGTACCGGGGTGACATGAAAGGCTGCAGGGAGAAGAAGAAACTCTTGAATAATCCCACCCATCCTGTAAAAGTCACCCTGTGCCGCTGCCACGCTCACACCCACCCGGCCTGAACACTCACACAGAGAGCTTTGGACATTGTTCCACAATGTTTAGCAGTACTGCACAAATTCAGAGGATAGATTATTTAACCATTTGTTTCAGCACTTCTAAGTGCAGAATATAAAAAACTTAATGCATTAATAGGGACCAATAAACCATCATCAGACATCTCTAGTTTCCACTGGAGAAGGGGGAAAGGTGGGAACCTTGAAATAGAAAACAAAGGTGTTCTTGGGAGACTTCAGAGGCAAAGAAGATCAAAATAACTCACAAATACTTTTCATTCACTTTTTCATAATACAGCAAAAAGCAACACAAGATTTAACCTGCGGGGGCACAGATTCTGAGTTCATGATGCAAATATTTAGAATTTTGCTGGTTTCAGCTGCCATATCAATTCAGTGCTGCACTCCTGCCATCCCTCCCTGTTCACACACTGGCTCTCCTCTCTCCCACCTCAATTTATACCCAAATCTGGCACACCATCCACACTTTGTGAGCTTCTGGTGGCTCTTGGCTACTCCTGAGCTACCTCACAGCTCTCAAACAAGGTCAGGCCCCCAAATAATCAAGTGGTATTGGCAGCAAAAGCATTTAACTTCCCTGCTCGTTCCACCCCAAAATGTGGCAATAGCCTAGAAATCTAAAAGGATGAGCGGCAAGTCTACAGGAAAAAGGCATAAATATCTGACTAAACAGAAGATGAAGAGGATGGCTTTGGCAAGCAGGAGTACCTACAGCTCCAGAAGAAATGAAGAGATAAAAGTATGCTGTGACTGAGCACAGGGACAAAAAGACTGATTTAGACTAGCAATAGCTAGAAGAGAAACTGCAATTATTTTACCAATAATTACTACTGGAATTTTTCCTGTGATCTTACATCAATAAATTAATGAAACCTTTCACATCCTGGAATCAGATGAAAGCTGGAGTAATGTAACCTACATAAACATGCTCTCAAAGTACTGCTAGAAAGCAATTTAAAGTACAGAGGGTTTACAAACTGGAGAAGAAAGTTCAATAACAATTGTGAATAGATTAATAAATTACTTGATGTGCTGTAGAGGAGGGAGGATCCTTTGTGCACTCTCTGATGGTGAGAACCTCTGATAAGAAAGAGAAAGGGCTGTGCATGGGGTGAGGCCCCTGTGAAACAGTACAAGTATCAGGAAATTAGAATTTCAACCATTCCCACAAAGGTCAACCAAATGCAGCCACTCCAGTGAGGACCCTGGGTTTGACTTGTCTCCTCCAGCAAATGAAACTCGACTTTATTTACATCTGTGCAGTGCAAAAAAAAGGAAATCTGAAGTGTTATACGAATATTACGTAATAGTAATAAAAAACCTGCTCCTTCCAAGCTTCCGAGGCTCATGTACTGTAAATATTCATGTATCTCTGTTTCCCCCTACACCCAGGTAGAACTGCAATCAGTGACAAGCAGATTTCACGTAGTTCCTGGTTTGGTTTACCACAAAAATTTTACCATTACAAACTTAAATATTCTCATTTTTGTGTCAGTGACTGAACTTCTCCCTCTCCACTACCAATATTTCGCTTGTCCACTAAAAGGTTCCACCAAGATGTTTCCAGAGAACAAAGAAGTTGTGTCCAACGTTTTAATGAAAACAGATTAAATACTCTCAGCTTTTCATGACAGTGAGAGTAGTTTTAAAATACACACACACATTATTGAGCACTGGATTCTGAAAGACACAAACTCACACAGCAGGAACTTTGTGTCATGTGTTTATTCACCAGTTCCCTTGTCATTTCCAGAATACCTGACATTTAGTCTCTGAACTAGTTTTACTTTCATTTTCTACCCTTTTTATTTTATTAGGAGTTGCTGGAATGCTCATTAGGGAAGAACCACTGTGGACTTCTGTTTCTTACAGCAGGCATCCCTCTCTCCTCAACAATTTCTTCTCCTTCTCTTGCAGCACAAACACTCCTGAACTTACTGGGCTCAGAATACTGCTACTGAATTAAAGCCAGTGCCCACACACCCTGGATTGGGCACTCAGATCTTGTTTCTCAAGGTGAAAATAAAATGTTTGCATGCTGAAGACTTGGACATTTCTGCCTGTTGTCTCAGCCTTGTCTGAAAAATCAAGAACACAAAATTCAGCATTTTAAATGCACCTTAGATGGATGCTCACACTGAATTTTCAGGAAGACAGACTCTTTATCTGTATTGGGTTTAAGCTGGAAAAATACCCAATAATGCAGCCAACTGCAACTTTAGCCAAAGCAACTTTAGCCAAGGGGAAGGAAGAAGGCAAAAGGGCTAAAATCAACTTCTCCAATGGAAGTTCAAGGACTGGCAGACATGATAAGGTGCTGGGAAAAGCATAAAAAACCCACTCCAAAACAAACAAACAAAACCCCAACAACAATAACAACAAACAAAAGAACATCCAAAAACCCAAACAGAAACCCCCAACCAAACCCCAAACAACAACAACCACCAGCAAAACCCCAAAAAACCAGCAAAACACCAGCAACCAAACAAACAACAAAAAACAAACCAAAAAGAAACAAAGGACACATGGAACCCAACCCAATTAAAAAAACAACCCATACAAACAAAACCAAACCTCCTCCAAAATCCCTCAAACCTAAACCAAAAAACAAGATAAAAACAAATGACCAACCACACAAAAAAAGGAGGGAAACCCCCAAACTCAAAACAAATCCCAATCAAACCCAACCAGCAAACAAACAAAAAAAAAAAAAAACAAAAAAACCAAAAAACAACCCAAAAATGAGTAAAACACAGTAACAGGCAAGCAAGCCAGATCTAAGCCACAGCTGAGATGGAGATTCCACCAACATCTGTTGACAGCAATATATTGTAATTCCTACCCACAGGTATGAAATTCACTAATTTGGTATCACAAAAAGGATCCTGAAGGCTGCCATCCTGCAGCAGAGAGCAAAGGAAGAACCTTCTACTAAACTGGGTGAAAAAAAAGCCAGAAAGGAAAAATCTTTTGTGTAGTCACTGTAGAATATTTGCATTTAACAAATTACAGTGAAGGTTAAAAAAAAAAGGTCAGAAACCTAAAAGGAGGAATTTATTAGAATACTAGAATAATAGAGATGACACAAAATAAAATCAAGATGTGAAATGTTAAATTTAATAAGCTTCCTTCTCTTACAGCAACATTTCATGTTGAATTGTTAAAAGTATTTTAAAGAAGGGCGAGTTCAGGAACTTGAATGATGGTGCCAGAAATTGTAGCACTTTTTTGTTATCCCTCTGCTCAAGAATAACCCAGCTGTGTACAGGGAGAGCAAAGGGTGTCTCTTAACCTGTGTGTTTAATGCAAGTCTGAGATGTGTAACATCAAAATATTGAAAATTCCTGTTTTTCTCAGTTCTCAACACAACAGAAAATAAGTTTTCTCAGTGGGAAAGTCCTTGAGAGAGCAATGTTGAAGCACAAGGCCCTCACTACCCACATTTTGGTGCCAGAAAATGTGATTTTACAGAAAGTATCCACAAGGAAGCTGATGCCATAAAGGCACAGAGGCTGGGATGTTTCTCTGCCAGCCATGCAATTCTAACTCTCTTTTTTAGCTGTCCAGGAGACTCTAAAATGTGATGTGGATTAGTTTTCACTTCCACCTAATAGCGGTGAAATAAGGAATTCAGAGGGTGGTGCTCTACTAGGCATGACATATTTGAATAAATCTATTGCTTCTTTAAATTTACTTCCCAAAGCTGGGAGTGTAATTTACTTCCTTCCAGATACAGGCTTCTTGCACTGACATTTTTATCCTGCTTTTAACTCATACCTTTGCATTTATCAATCACACTTTGTCTCACATAAATTTGCAAAACTTACAACAATGACTAGTCCAGAGAAGTAATCCTGAATATTTCAAATCCTATTGAGACTCAATTGATATTGATCACTAACAAAAATCACATGGTGAGACACAACTTCACACTTGGTGTGGAGAAAACCTAAATAGCAAACAATTGATTTTTATAACTCAGCCACCTACAGCACAAACATAAACACCACTTATCCTAGCAGCTGAAAATGGAACCATAGACCTTATTTGTACACACTACAAGTGATCTTAAATTAATTGTGCTGCTACTTGAGGTGCAAGTACTGGAAAACAGTTCAAGCTGCAAGAGACAAAGATCACACTTCCTCTTGTAATTCTGAAAATGACCCAATCTTTCCATCTATCCATTTAAAAGTTCTACATGATCACAAGTGAAACAAATCAAAAATCTTTGCTCTCGTCTCTGATTAAAAATCAGTCGCCCAGTTACACAGTCTGTGTAAAATACCATTCATCTTCACCTTTTTTGTTTCCAAACTCTACTCTGGGCTAAAAGGTTTGGCATCACTTACTGCTATGTATTACTAGTATTAGTATCCAAAATATTAAAAATAAGACTGCTGGCCATTTTTATTTCATTTTCCTGTAAGGGAAAATAATATTTCAATATATCTCTTTAAGACTCCAGTGTTTTAGGAAACACTCTAGAGGTGTTTTACACCTACGTCTTCCATTCCCAAATTGAAGGGGGTCTGCCCTCCTAGGAGGACCATGGGGAACCATTAAATATGTGTGAATTGAATTTATCTGAGTTAGCCTGCAATTCATTTTTCATTTCATTACTTTTCATTTTTCAGTTTCCTCTGTGATTTTTTTTTTGGTGGCATCTCTCTCAGCAGTAACAAATCACTCAAGTTTCAGGACACTCTTCATTAACACATTTTAGTCTTAACTGGGACCGAACACAAAATTATTTTTTTTCTGAAGTATTTAGGAGATGAAATTTGGGTTGTACACTGCCCATCTTGCAGTTTACCAGCGCAAACCAAAACAGCTGATTTTATTTATGGTATTTCATATAAAAATGTGTTATTCTCAGCACTGAGAGAGGAGT